CTGATGAGTTCCAGAAGGTGAGGAAGTTCTTGTGAGATCTGAAACAGTAAATACACTCCATAAAAAAGAATCAAATGGAAATGTTGGAGAAGAAGGCTATAATACAGGAAATCAAAACCTCCTTAGAAAGTATTAAAAGCAGACTAGATCATACAGAAAATTGAATCTCAGATGTAGAAGATGGAATCACTGGACTAGTAAAACCCACCACAAAGACTGGGAAAATAGCCCAAAAAATGAGACTAATATACAAGAAATACCAGATACCATTAAATGTCCAAACATCCAGATAATTAGTATCCCATAAGGTGAAGAGACTAGTAAGGGCATTGACAATCTATTCTGTGAAATCCTGGAAGAAAATTTCCCAAACCTAGAGGCATTCAAAGATCCAGTGCCAAGGAATACAAGGGACTCCAAATAGAATCAACCCAAGATGATCTTCTCTAAGACACATTATAGCCAAAATGACCAAAACCACAGACAAAGACAAGATACTAAGATTGGCAAGAGAGAAACATCAAGTTACCTATAAAGGACATATCATCAGGCTGACAGTGGATCTCTCATTGGAAACAACGTGAGTGAGAAAATGTTAAGGGAAAAGCAATTGCAACCACCGATACTATACCCGGCAAGATTATCTTTCCTATGGGAAGAAAAGATAAGAACATTCTCAGATAAACAAAACCTGAAAGAATTTACCAGCACCAGACCAGCTCTCTATTCTCCCCTTGGGATTTTGAGCATGCTCACATATGCACCTGGTGTGTTTCTCAAGCCACCAGGCCTGGAAATCAGACATAAATAAATAAGAGTTCTAAAAGAACTAAGAAAATGGCCAGCTTAATGGTAGGGAGAAGTCCAGAGTTGAACATTATCTTCCAGAATTTAAATGGAAAGATCAGACCACACAACAGAAAGTACATGACTTTGAACTGGTAAAACAGAATTTTATGATTTTTGACTAAAACTTACTGACCTTCTATGCTTTGTTTTCCAGTGTTAAGGAGTTTTGTCTTCTCTTGAATTGTGGACAGGTTCATGTACCTCCCATTCTAACATAACCTGTTTCCTGGCTTTAAGTATTAAGAACAGTTCTCTTAAGACTTTTTTATTTTGATTTATTAAAGGTAAAACTGCCTTTCTTGAAATTAAAGAATGTACTTAAGAAATACCTATTTAGTAACCACAGTAAACTCAATAACCTCAGTTACGTGCTATTTTATAGTATATTAATTCTACCCACAGAGTTCCATGCCTAAAGTCAACTTTTGTTCACAGATATGTATATATCTGCTGAACATTCTATTGAAAGTATTTAGATAATTTGTGAATCAATACAATGTGGGAAAGAATAAGGGAATGGAAAGCAACTGTAGAAATCAGAAACAGGGTGGGAAGAGGATGGGAAATGGCAGAGGGTGAGAAATGGGGGGAAAATATATATACAAGAAAAAAGAAATGGAAAATTATTTGTTGACAATAACATGTATGATTAAGTAACTTTATAGTGTATTCTGACTGGAAAATCGCATTTTGTATGCTGCAGTGATGCATAGTGAAAGTAGGTAAAATAAATTAATTTTTTAAAAAATTAAAATAAATAAATTTAAAAATATTATAAAAATATAAAAAATAAATGGTGCCATGCTTAACTAGGAACAGAGACTAGGAGGAAGGGAAAGGGTGAGACACATAGCTAGAAGGTATAAATCACTCCAGGTGGAGGGAAGATCAGAGAAAAGAGAGAAGGAAGTGAACTTGTATTTCAATGATTTGTATTGGATAGGTTTTTTTATTATTTTTTTCTTTAAGTTTATTTATTTATTTTTATATGTGAGACAGAAGGACTCCTGACAGGGTCTTTACACGTTGGTCCATCTCTAGCCTCAGCCAATCTGGATCTTGGCACTTGTACACCCAGTGTGCTCAGGGAGGCCCAAATATGGGAACCACCGACCTTCTCATGTGGAACCAGTTGCACTAACACTGTGCTACCTCTTGGCCCTACTTTCTTATTATTATTTATTGCCATAGGGCACATGCACTCTCCAGACAGAAAGAGAGAAAGCATTTCCCCAATGGGGCATGTTCAGGTCGCAGTTCCTTCTAGTCCATTTATGCATTCTGTCTGTGTCTATGGCAGTTACAGTGGCACAGGCAGTAAGGCACAGTTGCACAATACTGGAGCCACATAGAAGGCTCTGGATTTGGATTCCAGGTCGATCTGAATATGCCACGTGTGCCCATGCACACCTGTGATCATGGCTGGCTGGGAGGTTGGTAGAGAGGACTGCAGTGTGGCGAGACATTATAAAGGGTACACCCTCACACTCTAACTTACAAGAAAGAAAGAAATTTTTTAAGAAAGATTCTGTGTCCAGACAATGGTGAGCTACAAATAAATGGATAAACAAATTGTGCTATATTCATATAGCAGTATACTTACTACTCAGCAAGACAGCAATAAATGATTGATAAACATGAGAACATGAGTGAATCTCAAAAACATGTTGAAGGAAAGAAAACACATATGATATAGTACCTACAACATGATTCCATTGATTTGAAGTTCAAAAATAGAGTAAATCTTATGGTGATAGAAATAAAAAAGAACTGTTTTCTCCAGAAGGTAAATTGATGGGAAAAGAATGCACAAAAACTTTCTGGGTTCTAGAAATGCTCTGTCTTCAAATAGTTTTAAATATTATATTGCTATCTCCTTCAAGTTATAAATATCCTTCTTACAAGTAAGGAACTTCCCACTTCTTCTCCAAAATGAGATTCATTGTTCCAGGGTCATTGTGTTCACTGCTAATTATATTGATAACACAAATTCAGTAAGTCTTTCTGAATCTACTACCTATACACTAAATTGTAAAGTTCATTTTCAGTAACTTGTATGCAAAATAAAAATAGGGACTAACTAGAGAAAGAAGAAAATGATTAGAGTACACAAAAAAGCACATACAAATAACAAAGCAAATAGAAATTAAACAAAGGTATTATAGATCTTTTCTTCTATGCTTGCTCACAAGCTGTAATTGATCTCTATGGCTTCTCACATCCATACCTACCCCACAGTTTCCCTTCTCTTGGCCAAACCTCAGCTCGTCTGGTTCTTAACCTGGGTGACTGACTCAACCATTCATTCTGGTAAGATCTGAGTCCTTCATTGTCCTGCTTTCTGTTGGTTGCTGTGGCTTTCCATTAAGCTTTACCATTGGGCATGGAAGTACTAAGAGACTGAACATTTTATTTCTTGCTTCCATTGTCTAGAAACAACACAGCTTCCTCTTCATAGTCAGGATCAATTACCATAGCTAACAGTTCTTTTTTTTTTTTTCCCATATTGGTTCAGTGGCTAAGGAGCTCCAAATATCCAAAAGGTAGTCCTATCATCCATTGAGTGAAACCTTTTTGTGTTCCCTGGTAGAAAATAATTCCCTTAGGGACTAAAAGCTCCAAATCAACAGTGTAAGTTTGCTGGAGGTGCAGCTAAAAGTCTGCAGCAGGTTGTGGAATGATGAGAGCCACCACTCCCATGTCCACCTTTTGACTGTTGGACCCATGTGCTCTGGCTCTGTGGGAGGCAGCCATAGATGAAGGTACCTGGTTCAAGGTACGTGTGAATCCTGTGAAACCAAACCCTACCCTTGCAGGATGCTGTCTCCCCACTGGCACTGGAAATTAGTCCTCACTCAGCTGTTCCAGCTTGTAGTTAGGCCAGTTGCTTCTGGGTATGGCTATCTAGTAAGATCAATTAATCACACAAAAAGGCAGAATTCTTTTGAAAAGTCAAAATGATCCACTTCCTTGATAAAATTTCTAAAGATGTATACCTTCTTGACTTTGAAAAATATAATTGGTTATTAAAATATTTCTCATAACAATCATATAAATAAACAAATTGTTAAAGGAAGGATGAAAGGAAAGTAGAAAAGAAGGAAGGGAGGGACAAAGAGCACCTTGATTTCCCAGGCAGAGTTGTTGAGGGGATGGGAGTGCTTCCTCAGCTCCTTGGGTCCTTGAAGTGTAACTTACTTTTCTTAATATCCAGCTTAAGTTCACAATAAAAAGAATTGAGAAGCTCTTCTCATAGCAATCTGTGTTAAGTGACCATCCACTATCCCTTTCCAATGAGGCTGAGGCACCTAAAATTAACCTTATCAGGGGTAGACAAGAGAACGGCCTAAAAATAAAAAAGAAGAGAGGGAGGGAAGATGATATTAAGTAAGTATACTTTTCATATTCATAATGTTATGTCTCTAGTGCCCATTTACCATCCTTATACCCTCCAGCTACCAAACACATTTATCATGGATAATCAATCATATTGAAACATCCTAAAAAATATACATCTTAACCGTTAAACTCTTAGTTTGCCAAACTACAAACTATGAAGTCTACTTTTTGTCTCGCTGGCTTGAGGATTCCTATGCATCCACCCTCATTCATTACAGTGTGAACCAAATTGCAGCTTTTTTAAACTCCTCCTTTTTCTTCAGAGTATGTGTCATCCCCAAGGCTCCAAGCACACAAGGAGTAGAAAAGCCTCTCATACAGACCTTTCCATCAGAAAGAGAAGAAAGTCGTACATTTGTGCAGGGTCCAGTGATCTGTTCGTATCCACCGCCACTTTATCAGTATTTCCAGCAGAGCTTGGCAATGCTCAACTTAGTACATGATTGATTCACACAATGTTAGCATGTAAGAAGCAAGCTTTAATATTCTAACTGTGAAATCATGTAAGAACAGGGTGAAAGCAATGAGTTAAGATGTCATAGGGGACAGCAGATGGAGTGGAGGGTAAGGCAGCTGGATCTCATGTGGCCAACAGTGCAGTTTGAGTCTCAGACCCAGAGGCTTGATAAACATGCCAGGACCATGTGTGTGTGCCCAAAATCCCAAGGGGAGAATGAGAAGAAGGGATTACTATGTGGCCATCCTCTGCCCCCAAGCACACATACCCTACAGCAAACAAACAAACTAAACAAGTCAGTAGCTAGAAGAAACAAAACTAGTTATATCCAAAAAATTCCAATGTAGTTTTGTAGAATTTAAGATACCAAAAAAGAATTAGATATTACTTTCATAACCATGTAAAAACGTTCAAGTAAACAGTAGTGAATTCTAAATCTTTATTCTTCTGCTCAACTCTTAAATAGTCACCAGAACTAGCATGCCCATGATAATGTTGTAAATCATTCATGAGTCTAATAAATAACCTATTGCTGGTTGGTAATACCTAACAATTTCTTCTTCACAATTGGTTGGTAATATGTCACAATTTCTACGGAGATATTACTGTAATATTCAGAAAAAAAAATTCCAACACATTGTGACTAGCACAGTTAGAGCAGAAAGAAGAAATTCAAAAAAAATAAATAACTGTCTCTAGGAAACAGGTAGAAAAGAAGACAAACTTGGAGAAAAAGAACACAAGGAGCTCATCTGTTGTTTCAGGTTGATTGCAAAATAAACTGATGACTGAAATTCCACCTCCTCCTAGGCTGTCCCAATTCACATAATCAACCCATTAAGATAGTCTCAGGACAAGTCCTTAAAGTCCCGATTATTACATGATAAGAACACTGCCTCCTCCATCATTCTAGAACACTAATTATTTGGTACTATTTAGTTTCTACACTGATCAAAAAGCTTCTGAAACAAAGTTTATCAAATATAGGGCTCAGTAAGAATTGCAGAATTAATTATTCTATTTCTGGATATACTTAACCCCCTTTGCCTCAGTCACCATGATATCACAAGAGATCTCTTTAGTAGCACAGAAGATCTTGAGTCTGATACTCCACAACCATGGGTGGTTTGTGTGCAGCTCCCCCTGCAGCCCCAGGCACTGTGTCCCTCAGCGCACAGAAGTACTCAGCCGTGTCAGTCCAATGCACAGACGGTTTCCTCAGGTGGAAGGAAGAGTCACTCTTCTTAAATTCAGCCTCAAAGCCGTTGCTGCCTTTAACCAGGGTGTCTCCAGAATAGTACCTGAGGAGAAGCTGGAGTCCTTGGCCAGGGTACTGGACATACCAGGAGAGATAAGGAGTTGAAGTACCGGAATAGGTGCATCTCAGCTCCAGTGAGGCTTTCTCCGAGACAGTGACATGACTGTCAGGCTGGGTCACAGACTGGGCTCTGGCATCTCCTGTAAAATCAACATTCTATCAGAGAAAGCTGCCAGACTTCACTATGAAAACAAAGCATTTCTATGCAGAATCTGCAGAACTAGATATTGTAAAGAAATTTTACTCACTCAGGACAAAATGTACGCCCAGGACTGGAATAAGCACCAGGAGCATGACTGAGCAGTGGAAATGCTGCAGGCTCTTTCTGGAAAGTTTCCAAGAATAGGAAAGAAGCTTGCCGCAAAAACCAAGACCTTGGAAATACAAGATGGGGTGAAAGTGCAGCTGGACAATTCCTTATTTAGATAAAAATACAAAAGCTGCTGAAATGAACCTGGGTGCTTTCTGGCCTCTGTTCTCGTCACTTGTCTCTGTCTGCCAGAAACTCAGCCAGTTACAGGGAGGAGGAGCCATGGGTGCACACCTTCACCAGGAATAAGACCTCTAGTTTGTGCACCATCACCCTCTGGAGGCCAAACTCAGAACCAAACGTCCTGAAGCCCCAGGGAAAGCTAATTAAGTGCTCCATCTATTTTATGAGATATGCAAAACTGTCACACAATTTCTTCCCAGATCTTTGACAGTCAATTAATACTACAGCTGGGAATCAGCAGTTAGCGTAATGGCTATGTCGCTGGACTCCCTAGTAGTCGACCGTGGTTTGCGTCCCGGACCCCATGGCTTAAAACTCACGCCGGGCGCGTGTGCGTGCGTGCCCAAGATCCCGAGAGGAGAATGGAGGAGAAGGGATTGCGGCGTGACCATCCCCCCTGGGGGGTGATTTCTCTCTTTCCATCTCTATGTCTCTGTCTGTCTGGCGAGCGCACACACCCTTAGAGAAAATCTCTCAAAAAAATTAATACTACGACCCATTATAAATGGAAATCCATGTAAAAATAGAATTTTTCATTGAAAAAACAGTTTGAAAAAGTATATTATACTTCAGATCCAAGTCCATGAGAGTCTTTGGAATCAGGCCAGTTACCTCAGGCTGTTTATATGGCACAGTGATACCATGGTGTGCATGGAGGGTGATAGAAATACTTCCATTGGCTGATGCTGTGCACCCATAACAGTGAAAGGTGGGGCCTAGAAAATGACAGTAGTACTACAATGTCACTAGTAATAAGATGTGACTCTGGATGGGAAGGCTTTGCCTCTAGGCCTAAAGGAAATACAACTACAGGAACTTCCAAAGAAAGTACAGTCATGCCAAGAGCCATACTACATTTCATTGTTCCATTCGTGAGTTAATAGCATTGGATCATTTTTACTTTTGGGCTATTTTGAGTAATACTGATATGGACATTTGTGTATAACTTTTTGTGTGGACATAGGTTTTCATTTCTCTTTTGTGTATATCCAGAGGAAGAATTATTTTCCATAGCAGCTGCACCATTTTACATTTCCACCAACAATGCATAAGGATTCTAATTTATCCATGTTTGCCAACCCTTGGTATATTATCCTTGATGTTATCTATCTTAGTAGGTATGAGGTTGTACTTTATTGTGCTTTTGATTTGCATTTCCCTAAAAGTGGAGGAGGCTGAGTATCTTTTCATCTACTTATTAGCCATTTGTATATTGTTTTTGGAGAATCATCTGTTCACATCCTTTGCCTACTTCTTAATTACATTATTCATCTTTTTTATTATTAAATTGTAAGAGCTACTTATATTCTGAATGCAACTGCCTTTTCAAATACTAGTCAAAAATGATGTCATGAATGTAAATATTTAGAGGCTGAAATATTCCTTTTAAGGACACACACATAAAAGAAATAGAATTAGATCTTAGCAGGTATCTAAGTACCTTTCAAATATTAACTAAATTTAAGGTGCTATGGTATAAAGAAAAAGCTAACTGTAGGTGATTACAGTTTCAAATTTATTAAATATTAAATGAAATTTAAAATACAACTTTGGGCAAGATTTCAGGCAACATTTCTTTTTTGTTTTTGTTTTTGGAGAGACTTTTTTGCTATAGGGTGAGTGCACTTACCAACAAGACAGAGAGAGGCAGAGAGACAGAAAGCGAGAAATCATCCCCCAGGGGAGATGGCAACATAGCAATCCCTTCTCCTCCATTCTCCTCTCAGGATCTTGGGCACACATGCACATGCACCCTGTGTGAGTTTAAGCCACTGAGTTTGGGACTGAAGCACAGTTGACTACATTGTAGTCCAGCAATATAGCCATTATGCCAACTGCTGGTCCCCAGGCAACATTTCTAAAACAGTAGAAGTAAGAGCATTTTGTGTAAAAATACATTCTTCATTAAAATATCGGTGACAGGTACACGCACATGGAATCAGGAGTTGATTAATGAATATAAATTTGTACCAAGAGTAGTCTATGTATGTTTTATATTTTTTTAGTTAAACAATAAGTAAGATTTTTAAATTTTGCTTTAAGGTGGATAGATTTTATTTTCTTACAAAATTTTACTTTTGTAAATAAACCTATGTTCATAAGCTGATTATATATTCAAAACAGTAGGTCAATTAATAATTTTTCTTTTATTTTAGTTTCTGTTGTTTTGGTTCTTGCTATAAAGTACATGCAGAGAGAGGAAAAATAAGAAATCACCCCCCTAGGAGGTTGGCCACACAGCATTCTCCTCTTGGGATTTTTGGCATGTAGGTCTATGCTAGCATCATTTTCAAGCCTCAGGACTGGGACTATCTGCACATCCACCCACGTGGAATCAATCCAACACCTAAACTCCACGCCACCTACTGGTTCAACTTGTCTGTGTGTGTGTGTGTGTGTGTGTGTGTGTGTGTGTGTAATATGCTTTTAAAAAATATATTTATCGGGACCAGCAATTAGCGTAATGGCTATGTCACTGGACTCCGATGTAGTCGACCGCGGTTCGCGTCCCAGACCGGGTGGCTTAAAACTCACACTGGGCGCATGTGTGTGCGTGCCCAAGATCCCGAGAGGAGAATGGAGGAGAAGGGATTGTGGCGTAGCCATCCCCCTTGGGGGGTGATTTCTCACTTTCTGTCTCTCTGTCTCCCTCTGTCTGTCTGGCGAGCGCACATGCCCTATAGCAAAAACCTCTCCCAAAAAGAAAAGAAAAGAAAAAAAATAAATATATATATATATTTATATATTTATTTATTTGTAGGCATTAACTGTACATCAATACAGTTTACAAAATGAGATTTTCCATCCAGTATACGTTGTATATTGGCTCAATCAAGGATATTACCATACATGTTATCATCAACAAATAATTTTCTATTTCTTGTTTCTTATATATTTTGCTTTATTTTTCCCCTCTTGATTCCCTACCTCTCACCTTCTGCCAACTCACCTCCTTCTCCCACACTGTCTCTGGCATGTACAGTTGTTTTCCATGCCTTTATTTTTCACATTTTATTGATTCACTAAAGATCTTTATTAATTTAAAGACTTTCAATACCAAGCACAGATGATATATACATATTTATGAATGCATGTCTTACTTTAGGCATAAACCTCAGTGAGTAAAGTGAACATATTATAAAGTAACACCTCAGTGGGGCTATAAATCTTCCTACAGTCATCAAATAGGTATTACTAGGTGTTTTTAAGGCATTTTTAATATAAAAAGTTTTAGTTTTAATAGATCAAAATTAAAAAATGTTAAGAGAAATTTGCTTAAAACTTAAAGCCAGAAAAACAGTTATGATTCAGTTCAAATAGTAGATAGATGAATCTGTCAACAGTTAAAAGAAGACAAAAATCCTTAAATATGGAAATCAAAGCATCAAAGAAAATTAGTAATGTTTAGTCCAAAGTAAAAAAAAAATCTATTTTCTAGTTCATACTCACATAATTAATCTCTCTTCTATTTAATTTGCTGTGTTACTGTGGTCTAATCATTCCTTTTTTTTTTCTTTCTTTCTTTTTTTTTGACAAGTTTTTGCTATAGGGCGCATGCGCTCTCCAGAGAGACAGAGAGAGAGAAAGCGAAAAATCATCCCCCAGGGGGGATGCTCATGCCTCAATCCCTTCTCCTCCATTCTCCTCCATTCTCCTTTTGGGATATTGGGCATGCATGCACACGTGCCTGGCGTGAGTTTAAGCCACCGGGTCCTGAACTCAAACCGCAGTCGACGACACAGGAATCCAGCGTCATAGCCATTATGGCAACTGCTGGTCCCTGATCTTTCCATTTAAACTCTGAAAGTTAACATAACTCTGGACTTGTCCCTATCATTAAGCTGGCCATTCTCTTGGTTGTTGCTTGTACTCTTATTTCTGTGTGTCCAACTTTAGTTTTCCTGCCATCGCACTCCCTTCAGCACTTCTTGGAGAGCTAGTATGGTGTTGGTGAATTCTTTCAGGCTTTGTTTGTCTGAGAATGTTTTTGTCTTTTCTTCCCATATTAAAGATAATTTTGCTGGGTATAGTATTCTTGGTTGAAATTGTTTTTCACTTAACACTTTAACATATTTTCCCACTCTTTCTGATGAAAGGGTCGACGTTAGTCTTATGCATATCCCTTGAAAATAACTTATTGTTTTTCTCTTGCCAGTTTTAGTATCTTGTCTTGGTCTGTGGCTTTGGTTAATATGGTTATGAAGTGCCTCAGGGAAGATCTTCTTGGGTTAAATCTATATGGGGTCCTTTGCATTTCTTGGGTCTGAATATTTGAGTGCCTCTCTAGATATGGAAAGTTTTCTTCCAGGATTTCATGGAATAGATTATCAGTGACCTCATTAATTTCTTCACCTTCTGGGATGCCAGTGATCCAGATGTCTGGGCATTTAATGGTATCTAGTATTACTCATGTTATTCTCATTTGGGGGGTTATTTTCTCAGTATTTTTGGTGAATTTTCGTAGGTCAGAGGTTCTATCCTCTACATCTGAGATTCAGTCTTCTGTATGATCTAATCTGGTTTTGATATTTTCAAGGGAAGTTTTGATTTCCTGTATTAAAGCCTTCATCTCTAACAACTCCATTTGATTCTTTTTTATGATGTATATCTCCTCTTTCAGATCGTGGAAGAGCTTCTTCACCTCCTAGAACTTGCTGTTGTCTTTTTTCTCCTGCATCTCTGCCATTCTTTGTCTCTATTCTCTTGCATCTCTGTTAGCTTTGTCACTACAAATATTTTAAATTCTTTATCTGACACATCCTTGAGTTCCCCTGTATCCTCTGTGGAGGAAGAGGAGTTATTCTTTTCTATTAAAGGAGCAATATTGAAGAGCTTCTTCACCTCCTAGAACTTGCTGTTGTCTTTTTTCTCCTGCATCTCTGCCATTCTTTGTCTCTATTCTCTTGCATCTCTGTTAGCTTTGTCACTACAAATATTTTAAATTCTTTATCTGACACATCCTTGAGTTCCCCTGTATCCTCTGTGGAGGAAGAGGAGTTATTCTTTTCTATTAAAGGAGCAATATTTTCCTTGTTTCTCATGTTTCTTGTGCCTCTGCAGTGCTTTCTGGTCATCTGGTGGGTTATACATCTTTTTCTATATTTTGGAGTTAAATCTGCGCAATCATAGGAATACAGAAGGAGGTGACTTACAGTCAGTAAACAGTACTGTTTTTTTTTTTTTTTTTTTTTGGGGGGGGGGGAGATTTTTCCTGTAGGGGGCGTGGGACAGAGAGAGACAGAGAGACAGAAAGCGAGAAATCACCCCCCAGGGGGGATGGTCACGCCGCAATCCCTTCTCCTCCATTCTCCTCTCGGGCGGGATCCTGGGCACGCACGCACACGCGCCCGGCGTGAGTTTTAAGCCACCAGGTCCGGGACACGAACCGTGGTCGACTACGCGGGAGTCCAGCGACATAGCCATTACGCTAACTGCTGGTTCCCCTGTTTTTCTCCCTTTGCACAACTGATTGAATGAAAATTGAGGATTAATCTGATTCTAAAAGTATTCAGATATTTGGCTACTGAGTACCTAGACCTGTCTAGAAAATTGGTGTATGGAGGCTTAGCAGAAAATTGAGAAATGTAAAAGAAAAGGAAAAGGAATAGAAAAAGTGAAATAAATGGGGAAAAAAGACAAAAACAGTAAGAAAAAGAGAAGAGAAAATTTTGTCAAAAAATGAAAACCACATAACTCACTAGCAGACTGCGGGAATATGGCTGCTCAGAACTCTAATATAGATGGCTGCCGATTGGCTAAGTAGATAAAATAATCCATCATTAGTTAGTATTGTCTTTTTCCTTTAGAAATATTGCTCCACAGTTCCCTAGTTTTCTGCTCTTTCCTGTAGGAAACCAATGACATTGTGAAT